TTTTTGAGCACAATTCATTGCCTATAATCACATCAAGGTGCTCACATAACTTTGAAATTTTGTCTATAAAACTTCATTACTTCTCATCCTTTGATTTTATTGGTAATAATATGTATTTTTCCCATGTTTTCGATACTGGTGTTGCAGATGACTTCGCAGACGACTTACGTCCAATGTCACACACACACTTAACGGTCTACAGGCAAAAGCCAGCAAATCAGCAACACAAATAACACAGACGATACTTCAAGCGAACATAAAGAAGATATAAGCGATGAAGGTACCTAACCAACAACAACAACAAACACCTTTCACCATCAACGAGAGAAATTCGAAAGAGGTCACTTCCTTCCCTTATTTAGGTTGCATCGTTTCAGGCAGTCGAGACACATGAGGATGTCAAAACCAGAATATGAAAAGAAGACAAACCTACAATACTATAAAATCAATGAGAAAATTTACTGCTCTCAGAAAAAGGAATAAGATGATAATTTCCAGCACTAATAGCAGGCCAGTCATGCTTCTATATTGTTCACAGATTTGACATGTCATTGGAAGCATTTCCAACAGGCTACTGCAGATATTCATCAACAGATAGCTGATTCAATAGTGAGTATCATATAATATGAAGGGATTAGCAAAAAGATGACCTGGCAACGAACCGGGCAAGAACCTACTGCTAAACAATTATGTAGAAGGAAACGGAGATTAACTGAACACACGGTGAGAAGTCTGTTGAGTAACAGCACACGCCAAGCAATTGTGTGGAACTCCAAACAGAGTGTGACGACTTAGGAGTAGAGTACAATGGTAACATGGAGAAGGTCGTGTGAAAAGGGGGTGAAAGCCTATGAACGAGGTAAGAAGCACTGTGGAGAATAGCGTGTGCTGGATATGTGCTGCGGTAGCTCTATGTTCAACACAGAACGCAAGTGAATTATAATGAAATTGCACAAATTAGCTTATTCACCCTTATGTATTCATCATTCATCGTTTACACCCTTTTATTTTGAAAACATCCTGATCATAACAACTGTCTTCCTCCGTTCCTTTCACCTCCTTTCACCAAGTCAGCTGTTTTTCGTCAGCCGGATTTACTGCTGTAACTATTTTAACTACTTAAATAGTTAAAAGTAGTATACTTTTATCATACAAAATTACAACAATATTAGTTAGTGAGTGTTAAATTGTTGAAACAATAGTGAAATTATTAAGAATTCATCAGTTGATTTGATGAAGATAACTGTTTTCAAAAGTCTGCTTTTAAGGATTAGGTTTGTTTTTCGAGCTCGACCACGGAGAACCTTTGAAAACCAGGGAGTATTGGACAACTATTTCATCCTACTCTGTGACTCATCAGCAGTACTCACCCATTGGGTTTCGAACCCAGGACCTCCCGGTTACAAGGCAAGTTCTCAGACCATTCAGCAACTGGATGCGTACTGCAGATGATTCCCAAACTAGGATGAAACAGCTGTCCAATACTCCCTGGTTTTCAATGATTCTCTAACTGATATCAATCCGTGGTCAAATTCAAAGAAGATAATAATGTCCATCGAAAATGTTCCGTACGTTAATTATCTGTTTTGAGTAAGAAAAAAATTAAAATTATACAGAAGCTAGTTTTGAAGTGATAGAAAATTATATCATCTCTGCTTTTCATGCTACGTAAATGCACACTTTACTAAATACGCATAGGCAATCCCTTTAAATACCTTCAACTCTTTTAATTCAGTTGGGTTTTTTTTAAATTGAAGTGTCCTCCGAGCCACCATTCTTTATTATGAGGTTCTATCTGACATATACGATTATTATTTATTGTTCCCATGGGTTCCGAGTGGAACATAGGACTTCAAAAGCACATCTCCACTTTGTCCTGTTCTCTTCAATCCTCTTTAGCTGACCCTACGATGGCCCATAGTCCCCCATCTCCTCCTCTCACGATCTCCTCCGTGCCACTCTCGGACGCCCAACACGGTGTTCCCTGTTCAGGTTCCACCCGATGGCCTAATGCACGATGTTGTCACTCAGCGGTCTTCTCAGCGTGCGCCTGATTCATTCCCATTTCCTTTGTCATGTATGTCAACATACAAGCCGTATTTAATGTCATTTAAAGATTTTCACAAAACAATACTCTCTATAGGATTATATCATGAGCTGACATCAGTTAGAGAACCAATGGAAAACCTGCAGGGAGTACTGGATAACTGTTTTGTCAGTCTAGTTTGGGGCTGTTCAGCAATACGCGCCCGCTGACAGGGTTCGTACCTAGGACCTTCTAGTTACAAGGCAACCTCGTAGAACGTTAAGCAACTGGGATCCGATCCAACGGCCACTCCATGAATTCTAACTTCTGACAATTCACTACATAGCGCGACCACTAGCCAATGTCATCGCTGGCGAGTATTTGCCCTCACGCCCCTCACCTGTTGTACCCTACTGGTCACGACTTCCCACTAGAAACCCAGATAACCACCTACCTGAATAGGGCCAGTCATTGATCTTCAAGTATTGCTTTGTAGGGATTTGATTGATTGGTAACAGGATTCCATCATGAGCTCAAATCAATTAGAGAACCATTGGAAAACTAATCAAATTCCTACAAACCGATACTTGAACAACAATACTCTCTGGTAAACTTACTCAGTGTTGTATAAAACCCCTGTTCTAGAATAAATTCATTTTTCACCATTAGAATAAACTATTAAAAACTTAAAGTTGTTTGTTGACTGGTAGGTAACAGTAGAATCGAAATAATTCTTACTTTTGCATCTCTCTTCCACTGAATCACGTTGATAGATTTCGTGCACTTCGGACACTGTTTCTTTGCTTCATACATTCATTACTACACCTAACGTTTACGGTAATCAAAGTAACTCAGGCAAAAATCTCTCCATGTTGATCATCCAACATGGAAACCAGCACTTAGCAGGACATCCAAACGACTAGTTCATAACATCTAACAACATCAGTGGCTTATTTTACTAGTGGATACTTATGGTAAACGACTTCTCTGACCGCCATTCGCTTTGTTTTTGGTATCTATTGGGATAAGGGTTGATATCCTCACAACAGCTAGTTAGTCCTTTTTAGTGACTGTTCACCATCTAAAATCCCATGACGGGTAGCATTAGCGCCAAATCGCGAACTGACAGAAGACAGAATTCATAAACCATCGGATAAGTAACTGGAGACTGAATGATAACGTAAACATCTAGAGTCAGGTTATGGGTGCTCACTTTCAAGATCTCCCAAACTGGAACAAAACAGTTGTCCAACCCTCCTGTTTACCAGCCATTCTCTAATTAATATCGGTTCGTGACCTGATCCACCTTGTGATCCTCTTATTGCTTTCAATGCTATTTTATTGCCACTTTAAAATTTAAATTTCATTCAATATTCAGTTCAAAACATCTCTTTTTCATTTTTTTGGAACCGCATTTGGTTTTAGAAGTTAATTGGTGGATGGTGACTAGCAGTGGAATAAAGAATAACGCGCCTTTCGTCCTAGTTGGGACTCGTCATCTGAATGTGGTGATGTTCCCCCCGAGACTCGAACCCAGTGTCCGTAGTTTCAAACGCCAAAGCGTTATCCACTAGACCACTTGGGCCACGAGAGCCACCTCTTGTGAAACGAGTCTTATCGATTATTTAATTCAATTTAGATTTTCCCGTCAATTGATTGGACAGAAGTTCTCGGTCTCAGATTGATATGTTGGCTCCCTGTGCAGATGCTTCGACGATGTTTGGGCATGTAGTTAGAAGTTAATTGGAGGATGATGGCTAATGGTGGAATCCAGGATGCGTATTTCGTCCTATTTGCATGTGGTTTTCACAAATAAATCTAATGTATGTTAGAACTCAATTACTCGGAGTCGACTTTCCATGTACTAGGCTATGAGCTATACAAACTGTGTGAGGGATGATAATCCTAGGTAATTTTCTAAAATGAAATAGGTGGAGAAGGACTTGAACTCTAGACCCATTGGCTGAAAGTCAAGTACTTAAGACAATAAGACATATTCCTACAATCCTCTGTGTTATTATTGTCGTTGTTTGAACTCAGTTATCCGGGTCATAATTTTTATGTCCTACTCTACAAAGCACACTAGTTTTGTGATGGCTTAGTTGCCTATCCAAGAGTCGAACATATATCCGATTGGTAGAAGGCTGAATGCCCACATCAATGGGCTATATCTTTCTAAATTTTGAATAGATACCCTCCTGGTCACCTTTTTCGAATATCGCTTGCACTTATACATAGTTGACAATGAGTCACATCTGTTGTGTGAGGACTTACGATACTATCCAGTACAGTGATATTCGAACACCCACATATGACCCTTAGGAAACGAACAACAGTTCCAAGTCTCATCACTAGGAAATACTGGACGACTGTTACCCTCTGGTTTTGGACTTATCAGAAGTATGCAACCACCGCCAGGGTCCGAACCCAGATCCTACCCGTTACAAGGCAAGCTCGTAGACCATTCCGCCACTGGGACCTATTCCAATGACCCATGGATTCCAACTTATACCAATTCAGGATTTTAGCGTGATTGGCACCAGCCAATGTCACCACTGGCGAGTGAGTATTCATCCTCGCACCTGACTTGGTACACCCCACTGGTCACGATGTCTCACTAGAACTCTAGACAGCACTGTCCTGCAGCCAGTTAGGAGTGAGCATCAGATTAATTTTCAAAGGTTAGTTTATAAGGATTTGATTTTTGATCTCAAGTTTGATCACAACAGATTTATATCCAGTTAGAGAACCACTGGACAACTAGAGAGTACTGGACAGCTCTTCAGTACTACTCACCCACCGGGGTTCTAATGGATACCAACAAACTAACCCTTGAAAATAGAACTATAATAATAATAATAATAACAATCGTTACCATAGTAATGAATACATATATTTAAATAAATTTTCATTTCAAATGTATACATATGTATAAAATAATGATAATAATAATAATCAATAATAGAAAATACACTAAGGAGGCCCCCACCGCTGGGTTGGGGGGGGGGCAGAAGATGAGATAAAAATCAGCATCTTTAAGAGAAAAATATTCATGTATACACTAAAAAATCAATTGAACTAGATCAAAAATATGCATATGCAAATATGTATAGTTCTCACATTTTCCTGAGGAATAAAGCAAAACCTGCCGTCTACCTTCCTTCCCTGAGTAGTAATCATTGTCTATTGTTTCGTAAGACTGCATGATTATGACGTCATTAACGAATAAACAAATAAAGGAAGTGTTATTCTGTCTATATAAGTATATAAAAATAGGCATAATATTTATGTATATATAAGAAAGTAAGGCAGTGGATAATCGGTATATTCAATCAGATAGAGTGAGAGATATGCAGGCGCAGGGAATTTGTATAACTTCTAGTAAGCCAGCCATTTTACTGCTTTTTATATCATAAATCTTCTTGTTTCAATGTGGATGGCTCTTCCCACTGTTGTTGCTGTTGTTGTGGCTGTTGTTGTTGTTTATTATTCCTTTGACGTTTATATGGATTAGGCAAGTTAGGATGTGAATTTGTAAAATGACGACCTAAATCCCAACTCCATTTATAACTTGTTGCACAAACACAACAGACAAACGGGCGTGAATTAGCATGTACCATAACATGTTTTTGTAATTCCGTTGGCCATTTAGCTGTATAATTACACTTTGGGCATGGATAACTTTTTATCGGTTGAATAGCTGGGGTTGGTAGTGTTGTCATTGTCGTTAACGTCAGTGTTGCCGTTGTGGTAGTAGAAGTAGTAGTGATTGTTGACTCTACACAGGGGGAATTGATACAATCACCGCTTATCACTACTGTCTCAGCTGATGATGATGATACTGGTGGTGGTGGTAATGGTGATTTTGACTGTTGAATATGATCATCACTGGTGGATAGTGATGATGATGGTGTTGATGTTGATGTCGGACAACCGTCTTTTGATGCTTTTTCAGAGATTAAAAGATCAAGTTGAGCCTAAAATATACAAGAATAAATTATTATATTAAACCAGACATATATACATGTGTGAATCAGTAATCAAATGAATGCTTTTATAGTTAACTCTACCTAACCAGGTGTGCGTCGGTGGCATAGCGGTTAGGACGCTCACCGACCACACACATGGTCCAGGGTTCGATCTCCGGCCACCGACGCACTCCTTTACCTCGCTAAGCCAGAAATAATGCTGGTGAAGAGGAAAGGTTAGGCGTGAGGCTAGAAACCCCATCCTGTAAAATAAACACTGATACAGAAACTTCAAGCCACTAGCTTGAAGCCCTATGTTCCACTGGGGAACGTGAAGGAAGAAAAAAACCTGATGTATGCTTAGTAATACTTTTCGAGTAGGTATATTCTCGGAGTTGAATAGTTTAATGGCCAAGCTTTTATTGTCCTTCTGAGTAACATTTCAATACAAGCGAATACAATTGTAAGCAAGTCTCTGAGAACAACACAACCAATTCACAGTTAACGTCATCAGGATATTTCATGAATATTTCATGATGTAGAGAATTTCCAAAAGTTACTTCATTTTGAAGTTAGCGCTGAGACTGATGTCCAAAAAGACAATGAGAACTTCTCAGTTATGTGAGTAGTACAGCTTAGAGAACCCCCCCCCCCATTAATTCAATATAATTGTTATATTAACTGATACTATAAAGAGTATCTGTAGTTATACATTTCGATTTTGTGTGTTAGATACTAATAATCTATAGACAGAGTAGCATCGTTTCAACTGCAGGTGGATGGAACTGACGAGGATAAAAGCAGGGATCGGGAAAGCAAGACAAGCTTTCACTACTCTCAAGCTGTGTGGAGATCAACAGCACTCACAATGAACAATAAGATCTGGATTTTCAACTCCAATATGAAGTCAGTGCTACATACAACACGGATCAGATACTTGGCGCCGCGTCACGAAGGGCACTTCGAACAAACTACACACCTTCATCAATATCTGTCTTCGCTCAACACAACTCAAGATCAGATGGCCGACCAGAAAAGATCACCAACAGGGAGACATCTCTGGGAGCAAACCAACCCAACAGGAACCTATTGTGCAACAAATATGCAGAAAGAAATGGAGGTGGATTGGCCATACTCTGAGAAAACAAACCATCAAGTGAGTGACATCACACGCCAGGCCACCGCTCGAGTGGAACCTGAACGGAAAGCGGCGAGTTGGTCGTCAGTGTGAGGGTGATGTGACATGGGAGAGGTCATGTGAAGAGGAGATGAAAGCATGTGGGCAGACGTGGAGCTAGGTAAAAACGTTGGTGGGGAACCGAACGCAATGGAGACGTTTGGCTGAATCCCTATGTTCCTCTAGGAACTAAAGGAAACAATAACAATAGACAGAGTAAATACTGTTTCATTTAGACTCACTCATTGGTGAACTATATGTTATAATTCTCAAGAAATTCACTCGACTTTTGAAATTAACGTTTGTATGGTAATCAGTTTGAATGAAATCCAAGTCAAGTAAGATTTTCTTTGAAAAATATGCAATTAAAGAATTGTAAAATTCCAAGCTTCATTAATGTTGTGATTCAGGGAAACCTCTGGTTGATTCACTTAAACAAACATTCAGCTTTCATTCAATGTGTTCTAGGTTCAAATACCCCCTCCACCTAATTCATTCTGAGTAATTTAGTAAATATTATCTGCTCTCACACTATAAGTATGATTCTCGCCCTGTCTGTTATATGTGCAAAATTCTTTCTACATAAATGAATTTGAAACATAGTGATTCAGATTCGTATCTTGAAGGTTTGATGAGTTTCGTGTAAAGTACAAGTTCCCACAAACTTCATATTTATAATTAATTAATTTAAGGTTATCCGAAAGACGGTTGAAACGAAGAAAATTTTCTTTTCGACTAAGTCATTAATTAGGCTGTGCATTCGTGTATTTATAATAAATGGATGAGAAAGTTCCAGAATAATTTCCAGTCAAGGGTTAAATTAATAAAATTACATTTATGAACTAAAATGCCATAATAAACAGGGCGGACGGATAAAACTCAAACAAAGTAGCACCACAATTACTGAGAAGATTGACATATTGTGCAATTGGGGGTTAGAAATGTAGAAATAACAAAATAGACATATTTGTTGAGCGATAGGCTCTTGCTTGTTGGTTTCTTCCCATAGTTTCTTACTGCTTATTCTTTCTGGCCATTCAATCTTCCGTATGTATTCAGAGAAGATGGCAGCTGTTGATGAAAGTCCTCAACCTGTTGCAAATCCTTTTCGTGACTGACACGCCGGCTAAGTTTCTGACTCGTATAGAAGAACCGACTTGACATTGGTGTTGAAAATGCGAATCTTGTTCCTTATGCTGACTGCGAAAGATTTCCAAATTGTTTTCAGGTTGATGAAGGCGTATCTTGCCTTTCCAATTCTGACTTTGACATCTTCGTCCGTTCCGCCTGTAGTTGAAACGATGCTTCCCAGACAAGTAGAGGAGGCAACCCCTGTTAAATCTCTACCGTTGGTGGTGCTTGTCGTTGTTGCTGTTGATTGGTTATCTTCATCACCTCCGTCTTCTCTGTGTTCATCTGCAGTGCTGTTTTCGCTGCCAGCCCCTTCAGCTAGTTTGTTGGTTTTCACCCGTTAGACATATATCATCTGCGAAGTCCAGATCTTCTAAAGTTTTCTTATCGGTCGTCCAGCGTATTCCTGACTCCTCGCTCCCAACAGTCTGACGCACAATTCAGTCCACCACAATTAAGAGTATCATCGTTGATAATAGGCAGCCAACCAGCTTGTCTTACTCCTGTATGCACTTCGAACGCCTCGCTGAGTTTTCCGTTGTGGATCGCTTGACACGTGACATTGTCACATAACTGTTGAATGAGGTTGACAAAGACTTGAGGTACGCCGTACTGCTGAAGTAGTTTCCAAATTACTTCTCGGTCTACGGTGTTGAAGACCTTTTCGAAGTCGATGAAGTTGAGGTAGAGGTTTGACTGCCATTCTATGCTTTGTTCTGTGATGATGCGTAGACTTGCAATCTGATCACCACATGCGTGGGCAAGAGCATTATTCCACGCCAGTTGTTGCACAGGCCCTTCTTTGGCAATCTGACAAGGTAGCCTTTCTTATCCGTATCCTATATTGCTAAATTTTGTTTACAAACTAAAATTCATGATAGCACATACTACTAATTAATATGTTTAGCCAGTAACCACCAGGGTCAACCAGTAGTGTTCACTTGTCGTAACCAAGTAATCTGGACAGTGAACGGTTGTTTCGTCAGTTTGAAGCCGACCTCATCAGTGCTCTATCTGAATTGACTGACCTCAGGGAGCTGAATCATTTCAAATCACACGAATTCTGGCTGGCTACATGAATAACCATTCATATCTAGCGTCAAATTCGTTGTCTGAAAACTTTAGAATTCTAGATGATGAAAATATTCCATAGGAAACTCTGGTTAAATTTTCACGTTGAACTGTTTAATCTGTGAATGAAGGATTTAGTTTTATTTACATAATTTGAAGTGATAAACCAAAAATATTCAGATCATAATATAATGACGTAAAGAAAAAGATTGAAGTTAACAGTTGTATCCAAGATGGCAATATATACGTATATTCGTCGGTTAGAAGAAAGTGATTTTGTCTCAGGAGCATTGCCTAACGAACTACAGACAAACGTCACCCAAAGGATAAACTCCGTCAAGTGTCTTAGTCAACAGACTTCCTAGAGTTACTCATCTCTGATTCCTTCTAAGAATCCCCACCTAAGGTATTAAAAAAGCTTATTCGCACTTTCCTAACCACAGAACACTAGATCACTAATCCAACTTACCTATGAGTTTGATTGCTCCTGTGGAGACAGTTACATAGGCAGTACAATTAGGCATGTTTATCGTCGGATTCCCGAACACCATTCTGCATGGTTAACCAAGCTAAAAACAAAGTCCATTCACAGTTCTATTCTATCTCATCTCGTGAATACAGAACACAAGACTGATGTTAACAAGGCAGTTTTCAAAGTCATCTACCGCACACCAACTAATCCTAATTTTACCTTAATAGTTTGTCTACTACATATTGCTGAGGCTGGCTGTTGGGATCTGCCTGAAGAAACTTAACTTATGTATCCAAAAGAAGAAATTGGTTCAGACGCTTCCCTTACCTTGGTCATCAAGGTTTTAATTGTCCTTAATTTATTGTGGAAATTTCCTTAATTTTATTTGACATTCTATTTAGTATTACATTTTTATGCCTATCATAACTTACGCATCTATCTTGAACTGCAATCTACTGATCTTAACAAGTTAATATCATTAAAAAACACTAGTATTACTAATAACAATTATTCCAGAATATTCTGTGTATATAATTATATGTATGATCGGAGAGCAGGAAAAGGAATTTATCTCAAAGAATATTCTCTGCTCAAATTATCTCTGCATTAAATAATCCCTTATTCGATTACTTTAACTTTGGCCTAAATTTAGCCCTACTGTGATATAAGGATGAATTAAAAAAGATTTTAACAATTGGTGTTATCATTCCTTACCTATCGTTTTCATAAAACCCTCGAAAAACATTTTGGTGATGCGTTTAGTTACTTACAAATAATTCAGTAGTTAAAGTAAACAACAAAATAATTTGTTAACTTATTCTAACTACCGTTATTTCCCAATAGTAAATACCAACAACAACTAAAAAGGCGACAATAAATACATCACTTACTTGAAATAATAATTTCGATGTCTTATTATTTGAGTATTGTGTTGAAGTCAATTCAGTTGTTAATAAATGACCATGAACTAGGGAATAATGATGATTTAAATGATTCATTCCTTCAAATATCATTCCACAATTTGCACATATAGTTGTACCACGCCAACCAACACGACGTCTTCTACCACTAGAAGATCTATGCATACGCGGTTTATTGTTGTTGTTGATGCTGCTACTGTCTCCAGCATTCTGATCACCATTCTGATCACTGTTAACAATGTGATTATTGAATTTACGCTGAAGTTTTCTTTGCGCTTGTAGAACTTTATTACGTGAATATCCAAAACGATTAGGATGTCGTGAATATTTTCTCCATTTCATATTTTCTGTATTTGTTGTTTGCATTTCACCGGCTTGTTGTTCTCCTGATAGCCATGGAGATTTGTTCAGATTTTCATGCTGGAATGCTTTCTGTTTACGCCATACAGGTGTAGATGTCAGAAATACACCGCCTACTTCTGACTGTTGTTGGTGTTGTTGTATTGTTGGCGATGGTGTACGTAGTGTTGAATACATTGAATGGCCCTTAATATTATTACTGATATTGCTGTTGCTCATATTATCATACATATTATTAAAATTCATTAAAAGGAATGGATTCAAACAATCCGGGATCAGTTTAAATTCTGATGACGTCATACTAGAGTGATTCATATTTATTGCGTAATTTGGATTCATTAAATATCCTGTATTCAGTCTGTTAGTAATATCAGTGAAATATAGTGAATTAGTGTTATTAATGTTATTATTATTATGAGTATTACTGTCATTGGTTATAGCAGAAATGATATTATGAAATTGAATATTATTTGGACAAATAATATTACTATTATTATTCGTATTATCAACTTTAATATCACATCCATTTTTGTATGCTGTTGCGTCATGCTGATCACGAATACACAGATTAATTGGTTCATTTTGCTCATTATTTTCAGTATATTTCTCTATAGTACTATTATTGTTAATAGTAGTATCATTATTAGTAGTTGAAATGATAGCTGTATTATAATCATAGGCTAATGGATTTGAATTGAAACTGCACAATTGACTTGTATCATTTGTTGATTCAGATAATGTTGTACATTTTGATAAACTATTCATTATAGTATAGTAATTTTTCATACTATTTTGATAAATTACATTCCATGTTTCTTCTAAATTCTATAAGGGGAGAAAAAGGAAAAAAATTATCGATAAATTATTGATATTTCTGAAAAAAAAGAACAGTTATGCCTGAATATTTTGGTTATCCCCTTGGACACCGCTGGCCGTGAAGTAGTTTGCGAAGAACTTTAACACTATGGAGTACCCCACACCTTTGTCAACGTAGAGAAGACAGAGGTGGTGAAAATAGCCAACCAACAACAAAAAGCGCCTGTCACTATCAACGGAAGACATCTGAAGGAGGTCACTTCCTTCATTTATCAAGGCAGACCTTCATCATTCTGAAATCAGTTTAGAAATCTTTCACACTCAGAATAAAAAAGCGAAATTCGGATTGTCAACACTTATGTTGAGTCGGTTCTTCTATATAGGTCAGAAACTTGGTGAGTCCCGCAAAGTATTTCTAACAAGCTTCAGACTGAGGAAGTGGAACCCAGGTCACATGGACAGAAAGTAGATTGTTTGAGCTAGTGAGCCATATCTCTACTAAAAGTTCTTATCTACAAAGGCCTCGCCGAGACTCGAACTCGGGTCGCTGGATTCAAAGTCCAGAGTGCTAACCGCTACACCACGAGGCCTGTGCCAGCATGTACAAATAATCTGTTGTAACTTTACACACTTGAATATGTGTGATTTCTCATAATACTATGTATTCACTCAAGGTGAATTAAGTAAGGATGAATTAAAGTCTGTAATCCATTGACCAAAAGTCAAATGCTCAAGTCACTGGCATGGACTAGTCCTCAAACTAAATAAAATTATTGTTATTATTATTGCTCATAGTCCCCAGATCTGAGCTATTTATTCCTAGATTTAAACTGAAATTAATACTCGCTATTCTTACTAACAGTATATCGATGATTCCGGGGTAGGATATTCTCCAACCGCTCACGCGGTCTGTGTCCATTTGTCAGCCGACAAGCTTCTAAACCTCTCATGGTTTATTACCTCTAAGTATTAGGGCCGGAAAAGAGGGAAGGTTGTGCATGAGGCTAGCAACCTCACCCCATGAAATGAAACAACACTACCAATCCCGAAAATGCAAAGCTTAAAACTTGATTCACTCAAGTTCTGCTTGGAACACAACGGAATGGAAAAAAATATTCATTAGTCCAATTAATATGATACTGTTTTGTTTTATTTGAATGTCAAATATTACAAGTCAAATGATAAGAAGGTGTGGGACCCAATCGGTTACCTGTTAACACTAACCGGTACCCATTTAACGCTTATAGGTAAGTGAACGAATTTTATAAAAAGCATATGTGGATTTCACAATTATTCTAAATATACCTTGGTTATAAGGATAAGCTTTATTCTATAGGATTTCTTAAAAAAAATAACAATGAAAATAATGCAGAGCACATACTAGGCATACAAACTATCTAACTATCTACCTGATTGTAATAGTGTAGTGTAACGGTAAAAGACGAAAAACTTGCTAACGGAATGTTCAGTTGGAATTTGGTGTCTCTATGCAGCAAAATTATGTGCGCCTTATCTTCAACGCACCATTTGCATATCTCTTCCGTGTTGTGCTGATTACGTCCTTCATATTGTGTTTCTTTGTATTCCTTTCATGGCTCTCATGTATCTCCTCCACAGTGTATCATTTGCTCTCTCTAACATCAAATCTATCTTCCTGCTATTTAGTGTTTCTATGCCGATGAACATCTTTATATATATACTACTGATAAATCGTATCAGTAACACACGCCACAGTATTATTATTATTATTATTGTTTCCTTTAGTTCCTAGAGGAAAATAGGGATTCAGCCGCACGTCTCCATTGCGTTCGGTTCTCTGCCAATGTTTTCACCTGGATCCACGTCTGCCCATATGATTTCATCTCCTCTTCACATGACCTCCTCCATGTCACACCACCCTCGCACTGACGACCAACTCTCCACTTCCCATTCGAGTTCCACTCAAGCAATGGCTTGGCGTATGATGTCACTCACTCTATGGTTTATTTTCTCAGAGTATGACCAATCCACCTTCATTTCTTTCTGCATATTTGTTGCACAATTGGTTCCTGCTGAGCTGATTCGCTCATTGCCAGAGATCCCTCCCTGTTGCTGATCTTTTCTGGCCGACCCTCTGATCTTGAGTAGTATTGAGCAAAGATTTGCAGTTGTTGATGAAGGTCTGTAGTTTGTTCGAAGTGCCCTTCGTGAAGTAGTAGTAGCAGCAGTTATATATATATATATAAAAGCAAGACAAGCTTTCACTGCTCTCAAGTCTGTGTGGAGGTCAACAGCACTCAGAATCAAAAATAAGATCCGGATTTTCAACTCCAATGTGAAGTCAGTGCTACTATACGGATGGATCAGAGACTTGCACTGCGCGTCATAAAGAGCATCTCAAACAAACTACAGACCTTCATTTACAGTTGTCTTCGCTCAATACTCAAGATCAGATGGCCAGAAAAGATCAGCAATAGGGATCTCTGGGAGCGAACCAACACAGCAGGAACCGATTGTGAAACAAATAGGCAGGAAGAAATGGAGATGGATTGGCCATACTCTGAGGAAGCCATCAAGTGACATCACTAGACAAGCCATTGCTCGAGTGGAAACCGAATGGGGAACGGCGAGTTGGTCGTCAGTGCAAGGGTGACTTGGAGGAGGTCATGTGAAGAGGAGATGAAAACGTGTGGGCAGACATGGAGCCAAGTGAAGACTCTAGCAGAGAACCGAACTCATTGGAGACGTGTGGCTGAATCCCTATGTTCCTCTGGGAATTAAAGGATAGAATAATAATTATATATGTATATATATATATATAAGCTTCTAGAATCCTTACACCTATCTATTAAGACTATGAAATGAATCCTTGCATTTACTTAAACAGATAGTTCAATAAACAACAGGTAGTAGGTATTGCTCTATTTACATTCTATGCTACTAACCCTAGAATTCAGAATTCCTCTGGCCTTTGAAAAAATGAAAAAATGGAAAATTAAAACTAATTTTAATTAAATTTTTAATTGAATATGTGTGTATATACAACATCTATGTAGATATTCTGAAATGATCTCTATCTATCTACCTATCTGTTTAGGAGCAGTAGCAGTACTGACTGTATACTTCATCATATCTCCTGGTTATATATTTGCATAATAAACATTATGATGTCAGTAAAACAAAATGAAATCTCTTCTTTCAATTTTCAATTTGCATATCATCAATTTTATATTACAAAATATGCTCTCATGGATTTACGCTTGCCTTTCGTTTTGTTGTTGGCGTCTTCTGACTTTAGTCAAACGCCACACAGCACACGCACACGCACGCGCTCACACATGCACACACACCCATGAGTGTATATGAGTGCTCCTGTGTTAACAGTTGTGTGCAGATAGATAGATAGATATAAATTATTTATGTAAATATACCTAGAATGTTATAGAAAAACTCATTTTTAAGGAGACAGAGAGAGTAGAGTAAAGTTACATTTCAGCCTGAAAGTATCTTATTTCTAAGAGTCAACTTTAGGTATTAGATTAGTTTGAAACTTTCACATTTCAGGTTTGTAGAGATTTAATAAAGAGTACTGCCTAGTTGTTTCGTATTAATTAGGGATTTTTTTATCACCAGTGAGTACTTATCAGCTCACCCACCTTCAGGTTAAAATTCACTCCAAATAGAACATAGGGGCTTCAAGTTAATTAGTGGAGTCCTATTAGAGCCCTATTTGGGACTCTTCAGCTAACTGGATGTACCTGCATTCCGCAATGAGTGATGATGTTCCACCACCCCCCCGAGGCTCGAACCCAGTGCTCACAGTTTCAAATAGGACGAAATGCACGTTATCCTGTATTCCACCTCTAGTTACCATCAACCAATTAACTTCTAATTACATGCGCAGACATCGTCGAAGCATCTGCACAAGAAGCCGACAGACATGTCGACATGAGACCGAGCACTTCAGTCCAATCAATCGATGGGAAAATCTAAAATTGAATTGAATAGGGGGCTTCAAGTGTGAACTTTCAAGTTCAACTAGCGGTAGTGGGTTGTTTTTTTCTCATGGGGGTGAGGTTGCTAGCCTCCCACCGAACTTTTCCTTCTTACTGGGCTTATTACGGGCTAAGTGAGATCTTAGGAGTGCATTCGTCGGCGGGAATCGTACCCAGACCATGGGTTGCTGTTAAACAATCTACCATTGGACCACCGACTCATCTTCAAGTTAAATTCGTGTTTATTATTCATTAACTGAGTGGAAATTAAATGAATGCTAACCAGTAAGCATCAAGTGCCTACATACTTTAAATCTGAATACTAATCTCTGCCTTCAGGATGGATGCAGTGATACTGTAGACAGAGGTTTCAATGATTATAAGGCTTTGTTAAGAACAGAGAATCACTGAATACTAACAACCAATGGACAACAGTTACATCGTAAGTTGGCACTCTGCAGAAGCGGACATTCAAAAATTCTCATTAGATAAAGACACTTAAGAGATATTAACTGGATAAATCAGAATTTCTCCATCCCGTTATTCACTGAATAGGATTCCAATGTTTTGCAGTTTCAAACTTCTATCAATTATTCAAGTATTGGTTTGTATGGGTTACAGGATTTCATCATAAGCTGACATCGGTTAAAGGACCATTGGAAAACCTACAGGGAGTACTGAATAGCCAGCTGTTTCGCCAGCCTAGTTTGGGATTCTTCAGAATTACGCATCTACCACCAGGGTTTGAACCCAGGACCTCCTGGTTAAAAGGCTAGAGAGCTTGTAGACTATTAAACCAAAGGCCAGCCCATGAATTCCAAATTTCGCCAATTCACGACATAGTGCGACCACTAGACAATGTCTTTGGCGAGTATTTGTCCTCACACCCGACCTGCTGCATCCAATGGCTTAATGGTCTACGAGCTCGCTAGCTTTGTAACCAGAAGGTCCTGGGTATGAACCCTGTCGGTGGGTGCGTACTGCTGAAAAGTCCTAAAGTAGGTTGACGAAACAGCTGGCTGTCTAGTACTCCCC